AAGTCACGAGCGAGAATAACATAAAGTTTTTTCAATTGTATAGATACTAACTTGTAAGTTCTTGAGGATTGTGGCCGTAGACATTGGCTTCATGAATTCTGTTAAGTGGTAATGGAGCCTTGGCGATCCTTTTCCTCAAGTAGTGTACAATTAGCTCTTCATCAGTGGGGCAAAACCTGTAACCGCGAGGCATAGAATCCAGAAAATTCTGTGAATTTTCGTGGAGAATTATGCCTTGCGGAACCGGTTGCTGCTGATCATTGAGGGGATACAGCTGGTGTTGATGTTGCAGTGGCTGCTGCTGTTGGCCCTGCAAGGGCGGCCAGTGGTGGTGGAGGAGGTGATCATGGAGGAGGTATGGCTGCTCCTCCCTCTGCTGCTGGTGATTATCCATGCTTGTTGAATGTTGAAGAGGCTTCTTTTGCCGGGGGCGCAGTTACCTAAAATAAGCGCCAAATAAGGTATATATATATTTTTGTCGTTGGGGTGCCAACCTGGCACTAAATGTCCGGTACATCCGTACAAGTGGGGTCGGGTATAGACTTAGTTACGTAAAATTACTCCAGTTGCAGTACAATTCTACTTTTCTTTTACTTCTACCCGAATTATACTCAATTATTTTGAAATTTTGGATAGCAATAAGAACATTCTTCCATGCCGCTTGTCTATATATCATAATTTTTATAATTTAATACCTAAGGTAATAAAGTTTTAATAAATTTATAATCTAAGACAAAAGAATAAGAGTCAAAGTTGTCTTAATGTAGCATAATCTTTGAAAATTATAGTAATTTAATCCATATTTTTCGTTCCGTAACTTTTAAATATTGTTAGTCCACATATGGATTTATGAATTAATCTTCTATATATTGACACTTTCACTATTGGATGCGTGATACACAATCTGAATTTAAATTAATCCAAATTTTATATATGTGTCATGTAGTCAATCGTGATAATGTACACATTATTAGTGTATATAAGAATAACACTAGATTTATACATTTTTTTTTGTCTAACTTATGGTTTTTACGTTAAACTTTAATCATATGGGTCCATGTCTGTATTACATCCATCCCATATAGCAATGGCGGAGCCAGAAAAAAATCTTAGTGGGGGCAAAAATAACACTAAAATTTTTTTATCTACTCTTTTTTAAATTTTTAAGCAAAAAAAAAAATAAATTCACCAACAAGTACAAATGATATGTATATTCCATGAAAAATATAAAGAGACAAACTCAAAATTATTAATGTAATAATCATGAGGTTGACATGGTCCCTTTTGTAAGTAATATCTCCGAATTTCATCTTGAAGGTTTGGATGATAATCCCCAATTTTTTTTTTGGGCTGGATCCGCAGGTAATTCATCTAAGTTAATCCCCAAGTAACTTCTTTTATTGTCATTTTTTGCACTTTCATTATCCTTGGCTTATTCTTTATTAGATGACTCTTTTTCCATTGATTTCTTCTTGAAATATCTCTCCACAGCTAAAGAAATTAAAATCAATATATAAGATACTACTCCAATTAAAATATTAAATGTACAATAAAATCTATCCAAGAACTATTTTACAAGTTAAAGTTATTTATTAAATGACTTATTTATTCATTACTATATCAAATCATTAATCACAACATATGAACCTAATCAAGTTAATTAGACAAAAGGATCCATACAAGAATAATTTAAAAGTTAAAATATATGTCAAATGGTCCTCTATTCATCATTACATTAACTCCAATATAAGAAACTAATCAATGAAAATAAAAAATAAATTATAAATCCATAAAATCACCATTTCACAAGTTAAAATATTTATCAAATAACCCATTTATTAGTTATTACATTAACTAATCAATTTTCAAATTTCTTTAAAACAGTAATACTCTCATGCTCTAGCAATATATTTGCAAACAAATTCAAAATAATAATAATAAGTAATTGTTTAAAACCTGATTTTGATGGTCTCCTAAAGTTGGTAAAGAGAGCTGCAAATCAGTGGCGGACCCAGGTCCCAAAAGATCAATTGATTCTGATGCAATCTCTAAATCGAATGAAGTGATCAAGAGAAAGAGTAACAAGCTTTGGTTGTGGAAGAAAAAGTGGCAATCGTATTTTGGCGAGTGGGGACAACCAAAAGCCAGAGGAGTAAATGGAACTTGGGGAGTGGGGACAAAGGAAGTAAATGATTAATAATGATTGGATGAAGTGATAAATAAAAAGAGTTGTTAGTTGGGTGTGGAAGAAGAAGGGTCATCGTTGTGAAAGGAAATGAGGGACCAGAGGAGTAAATGGAACTTGGGAAGTGGGGACTAAAAGTAATGACTTATATAATTGGTACTTGGCCCTGTTGGGGGGAAAATGAGGACCGGGGGAAGAAAGTGAATGATATAAATTTTATGATCTATTCTTTCACATTTTTTTAAAAAAAATTCTGGGAGCACCTTTAAAATTATATCAAAATTATAGAACTATTATAGGAATTTAAGGCCCCTAGTGCCCCCAGTGCCCCCCCTTTAAATCCGCCCCTGCCATATAGGTCCATACCCGTATTATATCCATCCCATATTTTACTAACTATGCTTATCACTTTATTGTTGAAACTTAATATCACACTTGTGAAGCTTACCCATAATATTCATGAAAATAATTTTAAGTTTTTTATGGACAAATAGTATGTAAATGGCTAAAACTATAATTTTATAATAATCTTAAATTTACATACCATAATCGAGTGTATATTGCTTCTTGTTTTGAAATTTGCACTAACTTCACTATTCCTATTATTATTATTGGTAAAAATGCTTCGATTTAAAGCACAATAAAATCAAATTTTGTGGCCTTTCTAATATAGTGGTTATTTTTACTAGAAAATTAGTAAATCTTGCTTAGATTACACAGATTTTATGCTTTTTCACCAATATAATCAAAAGAATTTTATACCTTGACAAAACAAATAGAAAAAATGACAACACCATGAGTATAATGGTGTGCAACTGCCATACATGTCACATTATGAGTTTAGGCATGATTTGTATAAATAATAACTAATCTAATAATTGGTTGACATGCGATGCATATGACAGGTTAGGGGATTTCAATTGCAACATGAAAATGAAAATGTGATTCTTTTTAAAGAAGATCAATAGTGGTTTTCTATAAATGGAAATATATTGTAGCATATACCACTTATGCATTAAGGAATTTGTAGTTTGAATCCTAGCAATTGAGTACCTATTGCTTTTTAGTTTTTTAAGTACCTATTATTTATTCATTACAAAGATTAAATATTTACATCCAGATAGAGTAATGCTAATGACACTTCAATTATTGTTAACGACACTAAGTTTACCTTTATAAAAGTTGGTCAAGAAAATGAAGTGTCAATGACAACAATTGTTATACTAAAACAATTTTTTTTTCTTTTGGGAAAATCAATAACTACTTTCCCAAGTATTTCACTTTTATGTTTAAAAAAATCTCAACCTGTTAATTAAATTCAAAATGTTGCTATTATAAAAAATATTCCTCCTCGAATTAACATCAATGAGTAGATGTGAGATATAAATGTGGTAAAATATCTCTCATACACATGTCATGGATTTTTTAAATTTTCAACAAAAAAAGATTTTGTTGTTAAAATAACATGGTAATCTGTTGTGGTAATTATTTTAGGATTCTTTTGTACATGAAATGAATTTAATTTAAATTACACAATAGATTATATGGGCATGTGAATTTTTTTATTGGTTGAGGTAATTAATATCTTTTTATTGAACCGTTAGTGGTGATTGCTAGTCAAGGGTGAAACTACAATAAAAAATAAAGTTAGTGAGAAAAGTGCAAAAGGCTAGGGGTTTTAGTGCTTAAAACCAAAAAAAAAAGGATCAAATTTTATAGTCATTTTGCCTCCAGAACTAACAATCAAATTTAATGGAGTATGTTAATTAAAGTTAAAAGACATGTTTAGCCCTTAAAATTATTATCACTTTATCCCCTTAAACTATAAGCTCATTATCAATTTACCCCATAGAGTTATTTTTTAGACAATTTATCTCACTATTAAATTAACTTAGTAAGTTAAAGAATTTTAGAAGAAAGTACCCTCCTCTCTGTATAATAAAAATAATAAAAAATTTAGAGTGACTCTTCTCCTTTTCAGTATCAAGAAAAAAAAGTCAAAGTGTTAATCTCTTTTTTCTTGGCAATTTTATTAATATTGAAAAAAATAGAAAGATAGGGAGGGGAAGGGGAGAGGGAGAGAGAGAGAGAGAGAGAGAGAGAGCTCAATTCTTTTTTTTTAAATACAAATAAGAAAGAATTAAATACTTTTATTATATAAAAATTATTTCTCTTTTCTGTTTACGACCAAATTTCAATCCTAATTCCGACAACCTTAAAGTAATATGATAATGCTAGACTCTTCTTTATTTTCTTTCTTTGCAAAATCCAATTTTTTGTCTCATTCTTTCCTATCTTCTTTTCTTTTCCAAATATTAATAAGTGTGAAAAAAAATATGAGAAAACCATTTTATTTTTATGTTTTTGGATCTCATAAAGTTAAAAAAAAAGGAAGAATAACCATTTCAATTTTTTTATTTTTAATTATATACAAAAAAGAGTAAATATATTAAAAATTTTTTGACCATACTAGTTAGATTAACAATGAGATAAAATGCCTAAAAAATAATGTTTGGAATTAAAACGATTGTATCACTATAATTTTAAGGGATAAAGTGATAATAATAATAATGTGATAATGCAATAAAATAACGGAATATTTTTGTCTAAAATTTCTTAACATGTTGAATTGAATTACTTATGGGGTGAAATGACTAAAAGATAATGTTAGGAGTTAAATTGATAGTAGTAATATAGTTTAAAGGGATAAAGTGATAATAACCCAAAAAAAATTAAGCACCAATTAAATCTATGAGGTGTATTTTAATCAAAATTTTAACTAAACTACTAGGGGAGGCACCTATTAAATCTACTAATGGAGATTCGATTGAGGGATCTGCTTCAGAAATTTATACTCATCACCGTACCCAAGTACAGACACGTGCTCGCTATTCTTGGAGTTGGTATTTTAAGGATGATGTTTTTGGATGTTGCTGCAGTATGTTTAGTAATCAAAGAAGAGGTGTGGAAAGTAAAGCATATGGCAAAGAAGCAGGCACGTGAAAAGGTAAAGAATATGTCAAAGAAACTGACATGTACGGATCAAGAAGGGTTATTTTTACAAAAGTAAGTGGTGACCTATAACCGGGATTTTGGAAATGTTGCGTACTGCAGAAGCTAAAAGTGTGTTGGGATGTCACGGAATTAACATAAATATAAAGGGCCTAAGAATAAAACATTTATGAAGAAGCATAAGCAGTACTAATTACTAAACAAAGCCATCCTGGGGCCACCGATTATGGGCATTACATCAACAAAATACTATCTATTTATTGGCATTTTACTCTGAATCATTATATTTATGTAAAATACATAAATATTTTGGATAGCACGGATATTCACACTAGCTATCCTTGTACTAAGTTTTATGAGCATTTTACTCTGAATCATTACATTTTGGATACTACTTTGATTAGAATTTAGTTTAAAGACATTCACTGGAGTTTGGACGCATCCAAAGAGCACCGATCGATGTATGTTCAAGCGTAAATTGAAATAAATATGCAACTTAAATTTTTTAAAAATAAATTACTACTGCATATCAGAAATTTACTTTTTGGAGAGTAGGTTTAGTTCATACTATTTTTCATAGTATTTTAAAATATATAAGTACAACAAATTTTAAATTATACCTATAATAATGTATTATACGAGTATATTATGAGTACTTACTAACTAAGGTACTAAGTTTTAATCATTGATAAAACATCTTATCGTTATTTCAAATAAACTTCCTAATATTAGTTTGAAATAAGTTTTAAAGTAAAATAGTACATGCGTCCCATAAATCAATAAATCTTGATTATTAATCAAATTTGCTATGTTATCAGTAATAATTACTATTTATGTATAAAACTTACTATTACTTGAATTAAACTTACTAAGGTATATTATGAGTGCTTACTAACTAAGGTACTAAGTTTTAATCATTAATAAAAACATCTTATCATTATTTCAAATAAGCTTTCTAATACTACTTTGAGATAAGGTTTTAATGTAAAAATTGTACATGCATTCCAAAAAATGGTAAATTTTGATCCTTAATCATTTTTATTGCCATGTTATTAGTAAGAATTACTATTGATGTATAAAAACTTACTGTTATTTGAACTAAACTTACTCTTTTAAAAGTAAGTTTGGGATATCAAGTAGTAATCTATTTATTTAAAAATTAAGTTTAATATTTATTCCAATTTACCTTTTGAGGTATAAAAGTTACTAATCTATTACACTTAACTTACTATTTTAGATAGGAAACTTACTTCCATAATTTTAGGTGTTATTTTATTTAGGCGAATATGTCCAACAATAAATCAAATGATCGCTAAAAGTGTAACAACGTGTTATATCAGGTAAAAACTATTGCGCTATCATAACTATCGCTTAGTATCTATATCTAAATGTATTGCTGAGGGGGTTTTGGATAAGGAGCTTTCAAAATTATCAAAAGTCTGAATGCTATTTTAATAGAATTTTACATTTTTTAATTAAAAAATATTTATCTCTTAACTAATCATGTAACCGGCCCTACAAATCCTATAATCATACTTATATTTTTTCCACATTTCCCTTATGTTTTTTCCACTACCCCATAAAATTCAAACTCCTAAACTTTAACTAACGGATAATAACCACCCCTGTAAAATGATATCTGCAAATTCCAATTCACATCTCACATTTATTACTGACACTTACCATATCACTTAGAGTAATAACTAACCGTTAATTTAAGAAATTCGCAACTACGAAAGTCAAATATCCAAAATTTAGGAGCCTGTTTAAATTACAATTTTCACAATTCAACGTATCTTATTGTCATAATATATTTTACTCTCACAATCATTCACAAATTATAAAGGCATTAAAAATAAATAATTTTTTTAAAAAAAATTAATTCAAAGGTAGTTAATTCACACACACACAGATATATACATACATATATATATTCTCATAATGCATATATATATATAAGATTATCAAATCGAATGCATAATATTGGTAAGTATTTCATTTTAAAATAAAAAAACATGAAATTACATTTATTTCTATCCATATATCATTCATTTTCTAATGTAAATTATTATTATTATTTTAAGATCCATCTTTTGCAAAAACACAATTCTTGAATGATTTACAGTTTTTGTCATATTTTGAACTATTGTTAGACAAATCTTAAATTTGAATTATGTTGGTATAATTTTTTTAACTTTTTTCAAATTAAAATGGTATAATTTTTTAATTTATTTTAATAATGTAAGTACCGTGCGTAGCACGGATATTCACACTAGTTGTCCTTGTATGATCAAGCCTGAGAGTTTGAGCATGTTTTGGTTGAATGTTATAATTCAAAATTTGGGGTTTGGAGGGAATAGGTTATATCCATTGTAATCAAAACTCAAACAGAAGTGGGGATAAGCCTGGTTGTCACAACGAACCATATAAAGTGGATTTTTTTATTTATTTGCAGAATGCTACCTTATTTTTTCATGCATCAGAATGGATTGATTACAAGTTGCATTTGCTTGCCTTTTGCTAGAATTTTGGCTAATTAACAAATTATACTAATTGTAGAATAGTAAGTTTGTAATCATTTTCAATTTTTGAAAAATTTGAAAGTTTGGATAACAATAACAACAAATCTTCCTAGTTACATATAGAATATCACTTGTTTCTATATCACAATTTTTATAACTTAAAACCTATGAATATAATAAGATAAAATTATTATTTTATAATACGATAAAATTTTATTATTTTCTAAGGTTATGTGAAAGGTCAAAATATTTTTCACAAAATATTTTAAAATATATAAGTACAAAAGAATATTAAATTATACATATAATCATGCATTATACAAGTATGTTACAAGTACTTACTAACTAATGTACTAAATTTTAATCATTTATAGAATATTTTTATTGTTATTTCAAATAAGCTTCCTAGTATTCATTCGGTATAAGCCATAAAGGATTGAATAATTTGAGTCAGTTGCTTCTGTGTTAATTTTGACTGTGGTTAACAAACTCAATGATTTAGTCCGTCTAACTTAGGTTAATGGGAAAATGGGTCACAGTTGGCTGGAAAAAAATAGTAATAAACCCGTTTTTCAATAAAAAAAATAAACTCTTTATGACTTTTCTCTATTATAAGAACAGAGTACCCATTTTCTTAAAAAAAATTATTTATCAGATAAAATAAAAATAAACCCATTTTTCAATAAAATCCTAACTCTTTATGCCTTTCCTCTATTATAAGAACCGTGTACGCATTTTGCCATAAACAAATTTATTTATCGGATAAAAAAATTTTTATTTATCGAAAAAATAAAAATGAACCCATTTCTCAATAAAACATCAGCTCTTTATGGCTTCCCTCCCTTATAAGAAAAAAGTATCCATTTTGCCATAAACAAATTTGTTTATCGAATAAAATAAAAATAAACTCTTTTTTCAATAAAAAAACCAGTTCTTTATGAATTTCCTCCATTATAAGAATATAGTAACCATTTTTCTAAAAAAAAATATTATTTATCGAATAAAATAAAAATGAACCCGTTTTTCAATAAAACACAAGCTCTTTATAGTTTTCATCTATTATAAGAACAGACTACCTATTTTTTCATAAATAAATTTATTTATCGGATGAAAAAATAAATATATTTTTCAATAAAACACCAGTTTTTTTATAGTTTTCCTCCCTTCACTACAACAAAAAAGGGTATTAGCGACAACAACTTTAGGAAGAAGTAGAAAGCTTGACGCTCTTAAGAGGCTTATAGCAAGGAAAAGGACAATACCTCACCAAAAATTGGAGCCATCATATACTCTGCGAGGGCAAGGACTTTTCTCGCTTAAAATTCTCGCCAAAAGGAGAGCGGGAAAGCTTCCCTCCAAATACTGATTCTAGTGGGCCAAAGTTTCTATTTTATTGGTGAGAAATCATGGGTGTTTTTTTGTGAAAATTTCAAAATTTTGCTCCCTTTCAATTTTTAGCAGAGCCGCGCATTGAAAATTTTTTAAGCATTCCCGGCACAGCACTTGTCAAGCCTAGCACCACATGAATTTCAAGCCTTCCACACTTGCAAGGCTACTTTCCCAAATATTGTTCTCAGATCAGAGCGCTCGAAAGTTCAATTGCAACCTCCCCTGCACCTTTCTCCTTCTATCTCTCTTTCCCTCTCTATCAATTTTCAGTTTCCCATAGACATATGGTTCCCCTCTTCCTCTCTAGCATCCAGATCTGAATTTATACAATCATGGACACACTTTAAAGACCCTTCCGATGCAATGGCAGACTTCAAGGAAAAGCGATGGTGTAGGTTTTTTAATATGTTATTTTAGAAAATGGGTCCGTGATCCCGATTTTGTTAGGAATTGTTGGGGTATGTAGATTGTTAATTTTGATTGCCAAGCTTTCATTTGAGCGATCAGCTTCTAAAAGGTCAGAGAGGCTGTTGAGTCTTGTATTTGGGGTTCTTGGGTTTTTCTGGGGCCTCGCGATTGTTTTGGAGATGGTTCCCGGTTGGGGTCTTGATTTTGATTTTGAATCGTTGGACGGATTTGGGAAGTTCTTTATTGCTGTTCTAATGGGCTGCATTGTGGGTCTCTTTTACATCCCAGCTACGAGGAATGCTCGTGCCTTTTGGCTTGGAACTGATCAGATTCGTTCTAATTTGTCCATAATTTCCTGTGGATGGTTTGGAAGAATGCTTCTTTATGGCAATTACTTGTTAGTTGTATTCACTTCCACGCTTTGGGTTGGCCCATTTATTGAACTCCTCGTCTGCGATAAATCTGATGGAATCAAAGGGCTTCATTCCAATGGTAGGAACAGATATACTGAGGAGTTGATAGGTAGATTGGGCATGTTGCGATCAGATTTCTACAAGTTCAGGGTTTGGTGCATGTTCAGTTCTGGTATTTTGCAAATTTTGTCTTTGCGGCCAAATGTGTAGATGTTTTTAAATGAAGCGGTACTGTGTTGGTACCAGAGATTGCATGCCAGTAAGGTCCCTGACTTGGATTATAGCAGGGCAAAAGTTTTCTTGCACAACCATTACATGTTTCTTGTAGTTCTGCAGTTCTTTGCGCCTGCCACGATTGCACTTCTCCTTCTTGGATTATCCCATATTGATGTTAACTTGCTGGCAGATTTCAAGTTGCCATGTAATCTACTGCCTAGCTCTGCTTTGGTCAAAGAAATGGCCTTGTTTCTGGCTTGGTGGATAACTTTTGTTTGGGCTATATTTACGTCAGTGAGCCTTACTCTTTATAGGCGTGGTTTCCTGTTCGTTTCTTGACAATCCCTGCTCTTCATTGGTGTGCTTTGTGTCTGTTCCTTGAGGACAGAGTTGATTGTTTTCTGGTTTCATATGCAGCCATGTGATTGGTCGACTAAGGAGAGTTTGTAGCAACAATTGTTATATGAAAACCATGGCCCTCTCATTCTGCGTTGACTAGTTACAATTTTCCAATGAGCATTAACATTTCTAACAGGTTTTATTCATAATCTTACTTATTTTTAGATTGAGGACAGCTTTGTAGAAACATGTATTGTATTAAAACCATGGCCTTGTCATTCTGCATTGATGAGTTGCAATTTTCTGGCAAGCTGTAACATTTTTCACACGTTTAATTTGCAACATTCTTCATAATGCCAGTTTGTATTTTATTTCACTCCGCTTGGGTAATTCAATGAGGCAAGACATCTTTGACAATGCATAATTTTCTTAAATAATTTAGGATTGAAAATTTGCTTGCTTCTGATATTCTTCTTCATGTTAATGTTCAAGTGATAACTAATTATGGTTGATTTGGGGTTATGATCTCGGCATTGTGAGGGTAAATTTTTTATAGTCCTACTATGGTAATGCTTTAGCAAGCTAGAGGTTCTTGAATCTGATCCTTATCTGACTTACAGTAATATATTTACGTAATGTTTGTTAATGGCAACATGGGCTTAGAAGTAGGTTTTTCAACTGTTTTAGCTTTAAGAAGTTGACCGGTGAGTGGAAGAAACAATTATTCTTAGCTGTGTTGAAGTCATTAAAGGGAAATGTAGAGTGTTGGCCTTTGAATAATGTACCATTACAGGTTAAAGTACCTCTTTTTTTTTTCTCTTCTTCTGGTTATTTTCATCTCTGTTTTGTCAATTGCCTTTTTCTTGCATTTTTGGTCAATTTAACAATCGCAAGAAAAACTCTATTTGACAATATATTGGTATCTCTTCAGGTGAAATCTGGAACTCTATTTGACAATGTATTGGTATCTGATGATCTTGAATATGCTAAGTTGGCTGAAGAGACATGGGGCAAGCATAAGGATGTATGTGGAATTTTTTTTCCCCAAGCGATGCACAAAAAATAAAAAGGTTTAAATTACTTTCGTCTGCTTGTTGACACATGAAAATGTTCATGTTGTAGGCTGAAAAAGTTGCTTTTGATGAGGCAGAAAAGAAGAGAGAGGAGGAGGTACTTTTCATTAATTCTCCTCTGTTGCATGATGTCTTGAGTACATTTGAATTCCATTTCTGTATAGTTTGGACTTTGGACTTCCTTTATACTGCATTATTTGAACAGTGATCATTTGATTATGAAGAGACAACTTATATCTCAAACTCCTGTCTGATTTTGTTTCAGGAAGCAAAGGATGACCCAGTCGATTCTGATGTAAGTTCCTGACTAAAATGTTGTTCTCAAAAGAGACTCTTTTTGCTCCAGATTTTATCTGTGATATGTTCTTATTACGTGCACTTTCTTAATGGGAAAAACTTGTTCTTTTAGGCTGAGGAAGGCGATGATGATGATGCTGCTGATGAAGCAGATAGTGATGATGCAGACGCCAAATCAGAAACAAAGGAAGATGTTACTGCCGCAGCTGAGGAAAATGTTAAAGTAAGGGCTTTGTCTGATCCTTCAGTGCTGAGTTAACCATGATGATTTGTTATCAGAAATTTCAATTGTTTTAACTCTCTTACTTCCACCCTTTTGCAGGACGAGCTGTAGGAAAATACGTGCGAGTGCTGTGGTTGGCCCAACATGCTGCTGCGAAGAAGAGCTTTGTTGGCAATTGAGCTCTCGACATTTTTCATTTTTCTTTTGGCTTTTAGCTGTAGAATTGCTGTTTAGGGAAAAAAGATATTGGCTTTTGGCTTTTGGCTTTGAGTATCTTTGTGCTTTGTACCGTTGAAAAATGGTTGAAAAAAAAAGTAGCAACTACAGTCACAAAGCTGCTTTTGGCAACTTTCTTGCAAGAAAATCATTTAGTTGCATTTGATCGTCTTTGGTAAGGGGTCGATGGTTTCTAATTAAAGAAGTTACTTGTTTATGACAAAATGGGCACTCTTTTCTTATAATGGAAAAAAGTCATAAAGAATTGGTGTTTTATTGAAAAATGAGTTTATTTTTATTTTATCCGATAAACAAATTCCTTTTTACTTTCAAAATGGGTACTCTGTTCTTATGATGGAGGAAAGTCATAAAGACCTGGTGTTTTATTGAAAAAATGGGTTTATTTTTATTTTATTTGATAAATAAATTTGTTTATGGAAAAATGGGTGTTCTGTTCTTAAAATGGAGGAAAATCATAAAGAGCCAGTTTTTTATTGAAAAACGGATTTATTTTTATTTTATCCGATAAATAAATTTATTTATGAAAAAATGGGTACTCTGTTCTTATAATGGAGGAAAGTCATAAAGAACTGGTCTTTTATCAAAAAATAGATTTATTGTATTTTATCTGATAAATAAATTTATTTATGAGAAAATGGGTACTCTGTTCTTATAATGGAGGAAAATCATAAAGAGTTAGTCTTTTATTAGAAAATAAATTTATTTTTATTTTATTTGATAAATAAATTTAGTTATAAAAAAATGGGTACCCTGTTCTAATAATGGAGGAAAATCATAAAGAGCTGGTCTTTTATGGAAAAGTGATACTTTACACAAAGTGACCGCAATTTGGTTTATGAAATAATCCCAAATAAAAATTTAGAATGAATTTATTTGTTTTGAAAGTTGTATAACGATCGTTAAAACTCCAGAGAATGAATTTATTTGTTTTGAAAGTTGTATAACGGTCATTTAGTTGCATTTGATCGTCTTTGGTAAGGGGTCGATGGTTTCTAATTAAAGAAGTTGCTTGTTTATGACAAAATGGGCACTCTTTTCTTATAATGGAAAAAAGTCATAAAGAGTTGGTGTTTTATTGAAAAATGAGTTTATTTTTATTTTATCCGATAAACAAATTCCTTTTTACTTTCAAAATGGGTACTCTGTTCTTATGATGGAGGAAAGTCATAAAAACCTGGTGTTTTATTGAAAAAATGGGTTTATTTTTATTTTATTTGATAAATAAATTTGTTTATGGAAAAATGGGTGCTCTGTCCTTAAAATGGAGGAAAGTCATAAAGAGCCAGTCTTTTATTGAAAAACGGGTTTATTTTTATTTTATCCGATAAATAAATTTATTTATGGAAAAATGGGTACTCTGTTCTTATAATGGAGGAAAGTCATAAAGAGTTGGTCTTTTATTAAAAAATAGATTTATTTGTATTTTATCCGATAAACAAATTCCTTTTTGCCTTCAAAATGGATACTCTGTTCTTATAATGGAGGAAAGTCATAAAGAGCTGGTGTTTTATTGAAAAAACGGGTTTATTTTTATTTTATCTGATAAATAAATTTGTTTATGGAAAAATGGGTACTCTGTTCTTATAATGTAGGAAAGCCATAAAGAGCTGATTTTTTATTAGAAAATGGATTTATTTTTATTTTATTCGATAAATAAATTTAGTTATGAAAAATGGGGTACTCTGTTCTTATAATGGAGGAAAACCATAAAGAGCTGGCCTTTTATTAGAAAATGAATTTATTTTTATTTTATTCGATAAATAAATTTATTTATGAGAAAATGGGTACTCTGTTCTTATAATGGAGGAAAATCATAAAGAGCTGGTCTTTTATTAGAAATGAATTTATTTTTATTTTATTCGATAAATAAATTTAGTTATAAAAAAATAGGTACCTTGTTCTAATAATGGAGGAAAATCATAAAGAGCTGGTCTTTTATGGGAAAGTGATACTTTACACAAAGTGACCGAAATTTGGTTTATGAAATAATCCCAAATAAAAATTTAGAATGAATTTATTTGTTTTGAAAGTTGTATAACGGTCGTTAAAACTCCAGACATTGGCAAACAAATTTTGGGGTTGCATAAAGGCAGAGCGAAGAAGGAGAAGAATTGAGCTTTTTGTCCGTTGCAATTGTTCCGTTAAAAATGGCTCTATTCGATTTTACCTATTTTTTGTTGGGTAAAATCGTTGGTTCTAACGATCAATTCTTCATTTCCCGTCAATTGTCCTTAATTGGCCAAAATTACGAAACTTTGAGGATGAAAAGTGCATTTTTTCCTATAAAATATTTAATCAAATGTTATTTCTTGTCTTAATTTTTGTTATGACTATATTACATATTTATTAAATAGACATACCTTTATAATTAAAGTTAATATTTGATATTTTAGGATGCCATATATTTAAATAGATGAAAATTATTTTGAATATAACATATTAAAATAATTTTATTTGTCAATCATTTTGGCCCCCCCTCCAAGGAAAAAATCTTGATTTCGTCACTGCTTAGGAAGAAATTGGGGTCTATTGCTAATAAAAGATTGTGAAAATTTACCTTTATATCCTAATTATTTCAAAAAAATCTAATGAACAAATTTTGCGAAAAAAAAACCTTGTTTCTTACCAACAAATTAAGTAACTAATAAAATCACCTGTAATGTTGTTTTAACATATTTAATTTATGTTAAATACAAATTTTACCAGTTTCTCTTTCGTAAAAATATAAGGATAACACCTTTTCAATTTTAGTTACAAACATTTATTTATTTTACATAAATGTAGTGATTCAGAATAAAATACCCGTAAATAGCTAGTATTTTGTTAATGTAATGCAAAAAATCCTTAAAGAGCTGGTATGTTATGGGCGCAATCTTTTTTACTTTCACATATTTAAATTTTGTTAAATACAAAATCTACCAGTTTCCCTTTCGTAAAAATATAAGTATAATACTTTTTCAATTTTAGTTACAAACATTTATGTATTTTACATAAATATAATGATTCAGAGTAAAATACCCATAAATAGTTAGTATTTTGTTGATGTAATGCAAAAAACTCATAAAGAGCTGGTATGTTATGGGCAAAAACTTTTTTACTTTCACATATTTAAAAATTTTTAAATACAAAATTTACTAGTTTCCTTTTTGTAAAAATATTAGTGTAACACT